ATTAATTCAATTTTTACCCCGCCCCTCTAGACAACGTCTAGAGCAAGGCACTCAATCTACTATATTCTGGGCAAGTATGTCAATGAGTTTCCAGAAACTTGTAAAATATTTTTATATACAAATACTTTAAGTGTGTGTGTTGGGTTTTCACTGCTGTTGCTCAAAATGGTCTTGGATTTTCTGGATTTTTACTTTAAATTTTAAAATCTGCATTTTTGCACAGATGTTTTTATACACTAATGCATTTCTTATTTTACTTATACTGTTATGGACTCTAATTTGTTTTCTTTTCCTTTTTTTCTTTTTTGATTAACTGTTTGTGGGGCTTTTTTAAAATCCCCTTTAACATTTTAAGAAAGGCAGCATATACATATCTTAAATAAACACAAAAAGTAATATATTTCATACCATGCCTGGTCTAAGGGCCTTAATGTTCAATGCCTTGTTGATCTCCTTGGGGTTAATTGTGAGTTGAATACTTGGATGTTCTGCAGTCGTTTTCTCCAGACTGGCAACAGCACATCTGACCAGCATTCCTGGAGAGAACAAGTCTGACAGAGAGTTCAGCTCCTGCAAGAGAATTCAGTTGGAAGAAAGACATAAAAGATACCCAAACATGAGTAGTGATATCCAGTCAATGTAAAAATTCTACCATTCATCTCTAATAAGTAGAACAATAGGTTCTAGTATGCCATGAAAGCTGGGAAGATTAGGGACCACAATATTACCATATTATTATTAATATTATTTCTTCATAATATGGAAAGTAAGCTAAACACAATTTGATATTACTGACAGATTCTATTCAGACTGCAATCACGTGTCACGGTCAAAAAATAAGAACAGTTCTACCAAATTTGGAATGTGCTAATTTTGGTGGACATTTCATGGTGCCTCTTGCATCATGTAAAAGAAACCTATAATAATCTGAAAGTATATAGTATGAAACTTTTAATAATATGCATTATGGTGTGTCAAAGGTTGTATTAACAGAGTGATACAATCACGTAAATAAGAATGGGAAAAATGCAGTCTCTCTGGGAAATTTCTGCATCTGTTAAGATTCCCTGCAGATTCCTATCAAGAGAATTAAGAAGAAAAAGGCAGCAGACCTTCACAGAGCCTTAAAACAAAAACAAACAAACAAATATATAAAACAAAGTCTCCATCCAAAATATTGAGACAAAAAGAAAATCCCCAAAAAGGCAATTGCAGGCTACTTGCAATATATGGTCTGCAAGGCTCTTGAGTTTGTCCGCCCTGATTTATGTTTTAAATCATGATCTTCCAGGGGAAACCCTACAAAGCAGAATATGGAATCGGCAACATAACACTCTGGTAAACTGAAGGCATAGGTTTCTTAGTTGGTATATCTGAATCTCATCAAATAGCTCCATAAGAGATGCCATGTCTTACCTCCATATACTCATCTGTGGTCACTTGCGTATTTAACATTTTGTTGTAGGCATCACATATACGTGTCGCTTGCAGAAACCCGGTGAGCCCATTCGGCAGGCCAATCACCAGTTCCAGCTGATGTGATTCTTTGACACATCCTAGCAGAAGCATCCCCTCAGTGAGAGACTATTTACAAAACCAAGCAAACAGTAATGAGCAACTTTCAGAGACACACTTTTCTCATTCTTTAGGCACTAAGTTAGCTTTCCATTAATAAGAAATAGAAGCTTATTATTAGAGCTAATGATCCAGTGAGAAGGCAAAGGATTGGAAAAGATATCACATCACCACCATAGAGACCAGTGGAGGGCCACATGTGATCTGACTATCACAGGCAACTCTCCCAGGCTGGCCCCAGCTCTCCAATCATCTTTGATTTCACCCCAAAACACCAGACTTTTGTGGCTGTGATTTGCCATTTGATATAATGCAACATAATATTTATTTTTTAAAAATATTTTACCTGACCTTTCCACTCAAAGAGGACCCAAGATGGCTTACACGATCAAAATACAATATTTAACAGCTAAAAGAGTAAGCATAAATATAATACATTTTGTCACTGTGTACCAAATAATCCACAATAGAGATTATAGACCCACCTCAGTTGTCAGAAGTTCAAAATCATTAGCTCTGATTTTTACAAAAGATTTCTCCTCAGACTTGAGTTTTTTAGGCTCTGCATAATCTTGATGTTTTTTCTTTCTTTTCTGGGTCACCTCATTACGCTGTGTCTGAGATGTATTAAAAAACAAAGGCATTAATTTTTTTAAAAAAATACATTGTATACCCAGAGCAGTGTAGTGGACAGGGTCAGGAAGAGACCCAGGGAAACTCATGGCATGTCTACTTGAGGCAGTACTGATGAAAAAACTCCTTAAATCTCATTTACCTTGAAACCCCTATTAGGGTCACTGTAAGAGAGATGGTACATTACACATCCACATAACACAATGCAACAGATCAAACATCAGAATTACAAAGAAACCATCAATGTAAGCTTAAAAAAGCAAGTTGAAGAAGAGTCTAAATGGGAGGAAATATGGACATGTTCAGGCCTATTATTAAACAATAAGCAATCTTCAGTGTCAAGCTCCAGAGCTATCCCCACACTGGCACACAGAAAAGGATGTTCCAGGATCAGTATTTGACAGGAGAACAGTCAGGTGTGTGGCACATCTGCCTGAGAACTTAAGAGTACCAATCAGAAGTACTGAGAAGAACTAATGATCAGACTCCATAGTAATGTATTCATAATGTTCTTACTTGAAATAAATTATCCTGCTCTACTGTCAGTTGCCTGGCTGCTTTTCCTTCTTGTTCTTTCTTCTGTATTCCACCTCGAGGAAAATTCTCTTCTAAAGATGACATTGTTGGTCTTCTGTGAGAAAATTAAAATGATCACAGGCACCTACAAATTGCAAAATTAACATATGTATACATCTATTCATTTAAATGAATATGTTAATGGACAAATTCCAGTTTGTGCAGCTTGAGGATGTGGACAAAATTCTTCAAGAGGCAACAGCCTCTAACATGTATGTGCTAGATCCCTGCCCAGTCTGGCTCTTAAACGCTGCCTGATGAAGATGATGACTGGCTGGGTGGGTGGGTGAGGGAAGTGGTGATCAGCCTTCTAGAACAAGCCAGTATTCCAACCTAGCTAAAAGAGGTCCAGGAACTAGACAGAAGGAGCATCTTCCTGCTGGTTCTGCTGGAACTCTCTGGAGTTTTCCATACCGTCCACTATGGTATTCTGGGTTGTCTCTGTGAAACGGCACTTGTGGGCACTGTTCTGCAATAGTTCCAGTGCTTCCTAAAGAAGCAAGCTCCAAAGGTGAGGCTGGGGAAGTCCTGTTCAATTGCCTGGCCGCTGGTCTGTGAGGTCCCTCTGGCTTCAGTTCTGTCTCCCATGCGAGTTAATAGATGCAAGAAACTGCTGAGAGAGTTTAGCCAGATCTGGCCATGGTGACACATGTCATAAATGCATGACGTACTCTATGGAGTATTTCCTTTGGAAAGTGTTTGGAAACGTCACAGGGTCAAAATGCTACAGCTAGACCCTTTACCAGATCTGGTTACAAAGAGAAGAGAAATTCCTTCTTACAACAGTTTAGTTGACTACCAGTCTATTTCAAAGTCATGTCCTAAATGGCATGAGTTCAGGCTATCTGAGGCACTGTACCACCTCACATATGCCTTTTTGGGTCTTAAGATGTTCAGGGGAGGTCTTTTTCTTAATCCCACCACCCTCATAAGCACTCTTGATGCAGATATTAGATGGCATTTTTGTGAGCTGCTCCTAGCCTATGAAACACGCTTCTCTGCTGGCCTTCCACTGGCAAGCAAACACAATTATTTATAAGTTAACGTAAGAACCTAAAAAGAGCCCTGCTGGATAAGGCCAAGGACGTATCCAGGCCATGGACTATATACTGTAGTCCAGCTTCCTGTATCTCACAGTGGCCCCACCAGAAGCCTCTGGGAGCACATGAGACAACCAGATACCTGTCTCCTGATAACCCCTCCCCTGCATCTGGCATTTGGAGGTACCTGCCTTTTATAATCCTGGCATTTGGAAGTACCTGCCTTTTATAACCTGCAATTGACTTTTTCTCCAGAAATGTGTACAATCCCCTTTTAAAGGCATCTAAGCCAGATACCATCACCACATCCTGTGGCAAGGCGTTCCATGGACTAATGGCACGCTGGGTAAAGAAATATTTTATTTTGTCTATTTTCACTCTCCCAACACTCAATTGGAGTGTCTGTCCCCTGGTTCTGGAATTACGCAAGAGGGGAAAGAGCTTCCCTCTATCCACTTTATCCACCCTGCATAATTTTATATGTCTCTATCATGTCCCCCCGCAGGCGCCTTTTCTCTAGATCAGTGGTTCTTAACCTTTGTTACTCGGATGCTTTTGAACTGCAACTCCCAGAAACCCCAGTCAGGACAGCTGGTGGTGAAGGCTTCTGGGAGTTGCAGTCCAAAACCCAAGGGTAAGAACCAGTGCTCTAGACTAAAGATCCCCAAACACTGTAGGCTTTCCTCATAAGGGAGGTGCCCTAGCCCAGTCATCATTTTAGTCACTCTCTTCTGCACCTCTTCCACCTCCACGATTTCTTTTTTGAGGTGCGGTGACCAGAACTGTACACAATACTCCAGGTGCGGCCTTACCAGCATTTTGTACAATGGCATTACAATGTTGGCTGTTCTATTTTGAATCCCCTTTTAAATGCTACCTAGCATGGAATTGGCCTTCTTCACTGCTGCCGCACACTGGGTTGACACTTGCATCGAGCTGTCCACCAGGACACCCAAGATCTCTTTCCTGATCCGTCACGGACAGCTCAGAACCCATTAACTGATAACTAAAGTTTTGGGTTTTTTGTCCCAATGTGCATTACTTTACATTTTCTTATACTGTTACACATTTGACATTTTGCTGCCCATTCCCCCAGTTTGGAGAGATCCTTCTGGAGCTCTTCACACTCCCTTCTGATCTTCGCCACCCAGAAAACTTTTGTGTCGTATACAAACTTGGCCACTTCACTGCTTATCCCTGTCTCCAGGTCATTTATAAATAGGCTGAAAAGCACCAATCCCAGGACAGATCCCTGGGGCACACTGCTCTCCACTGTGAAAGGTTAGGCAACAAATCACTGATAAAGAAGTTTTAATGAGAGAAGTCATGCGTGTTTCTAAATGGTTTTAAAGGAGTTTGATTCACTACTTTTTAATACTTAATATGTATGGTTACTTTTTTTTAAAATACTGCAATTTATTGTTTTACTTGTTTTAATCGTTTTTTAAAGTTCTCTGAGTTCCCCAGGTTCCCTCTGTTAGGGGAAAGACAGGGCATAAATTAAATAAACACATAAGTAAAAAAGGATTAAAACACAAAAACACAAACACATAATAAACAAATACACTTCTACTTACAAGGGTCGGTTAAAAGAAAAGCTCCGATTTTCAATATTACAGTTTCGGGCCTTCTTCACAACAATTCAACAAAGCATTTCCCATCGGGATCCGTGCCTCCTACGAGTGATCCTACAAACACGAGGAGAGATTATGGTGGTAGTAAGCGTTTCTGCGGCAATCACATAACGACCCCGGTTCCCCTTCCAGCGCTCAACGCGTGTCCCTGTCTCGCCTTCCCTTCTCTTCTAAGTTCCCACCTCAATCAGTCGCCTCGCTCCTCAAAGCCAGCCCTATTTCCTTTTCCTTCTCTCCCTCTGCTTCAAAACGCTCTACAGTACTGTACTCATATTCCCCACGCTTACTTGATTCAGCCGCACGCCCGACCAAAAAGCACCATAACCCGGAAGTGAAAAGGAGATCAGGAACGGGCAATAGGAAACGTATTTTGCTACATACCACGGCAACCATAGAGTCGCGGGCTTGTTCGTTTGACGAGCACTTCAGTTACCCAATCAAGAGACAAAGGTTCCGGAGACCCGGCAGGTCAACAAGCGGAAATAGTCGGTGCCTGAGCAACTCCATCTTGTAAGCGAAGGGCATTGAATGGTTTTTGGAGGGCTGTGCGAGCAGGCGGTAGAGGCAAGTAGTAGTGCTCTTTTGGACGCGTGAGTAGCTTTAATCAAAGGCAAGGGGCTGCCGTAGCGTCGTACGATCCTCTGGCTGGAGGAACTTCCATGGCTTGTTGCGGTAGTTTAAATGTAATGGGCATTTATTGAGCCAGTCGCTCAACGTCAACGAAGAGTCAGCAGTTGGCTCTTGTTTTTCTCTCCTTACGAGAGGCGAGGGGCTGCGGGAAGGAGGCTGTGGGATGCAATCACAGCCTCTGTGGCGTTCTGAAAGCTCGGTGGGAAGATCACTGGCGACCGCGATCGTGTATTACATTGTGTGTCGTTCGGGCCGATTTAGTTGTAACAGTAATTAACTGGATCCCGAGCGAGCGACCTTCCATTCCGTTCTACGGGGGGGGGGTGTCCAGAACTCTGTGCAGCTTAAACTCGAACTGAGGGCTTGGCAAAATTAGTGGGAAAGAAAAGCGAAGGAGAAAATGTTGTGATACAGGTTCTGAAGAGTTAGCTGCGTCGGTCTGTCTCAAAAGTGTTGACAAAATTAACGAGGAGAGAAATGAGAAAAAGCAAAATGAAATGTTGGAGAGCTATATGGATTAATAAATTTGTTTCAGTGTAAGCTTTTGTGGAGTACATCCCACTTGCTTTAGACAAATGGAGTGCTTATACTTTGCAATCTGAGTTGATACATGTCCTCATGGTGTTGGGGATCATAACCAGGTCAGGACAGAGGTAACAAAGTGGCTCAGGGTATCATTAAGACACGAACGGGAGCCCTGAGATAGACTTAACTCAGCTACCTTTTTGGAAATTGTGCTTGAAGAGTTTCACTGGCAAATTGTAGTCTACAGAAAAAAGACTATGGATCAGTACTGTATGAAGGTAATAATTGCAATTTGAATGTGCTGTACAGTGCAGTGAGTCGAGAACCTTATAGTGATGGTTGGAACTCACTGAGGCAGTGTAACTGCAGAACAAGAAAGAAAATGGCAACTCTTATTTTCCACTCTCCTGAAACCTCTTCTTGTTTTTGATCTAAAAAGCAATGAACTGTTTGGGTTCAAACTGCCATCCGCCAAATTCTTTTGTTGATTCAGATCCTCTGTCAAACCAATGTCCTCATTTCCCTCCTTGCCTACCCTCAATATTCAATAAGCCCTGGAAAGTGCTGAATGCTCATCTTGTGAGGCCGTTAAAAACATTCCTAATTAATACATTTCTGTTTTTCTGGAGATTTCCCTGAATGTGGAAAATTCAGCATTTTTCTTTTAGGTGCTCCATTTTGTTTCCATACTAACAGACATAGGGATGCTTATGTCCTATATGTGCGAGCAGGCGGTAGAGGCAAAGAGTGTTCTTTTGGTGCCTCGACTTACGAACAGCTCCGGGCACAAAATTTTGCTTCGACTTGCGAACGGAGCTTCCACTTAGGAACAGAAAAGTGCGGGCAATTTAAATTTCTAACTGTAGGTGGCAATGAGACTGCTTTGTACTGTAGCTCTTTCACTTTTGGCAGTTACTGTGTGTCTGCAGCGGCTTGGGAGAGCCTCCTGCTTCTGAGTGTGTGTGTGTGCTGCTGTTTTCTCCTTTTAAAAAACTGTTCTGGGTGGGTTTTGGATGGGGCGGGTATGGTTCTGTGCTGTGTTGTTGGTGGTTTTGCTGTTTGTTTTTGGAGTTCTTTTTTTTTTTTCCTTTAAAGCCCCAGCACCGTCTGACCTGGCTTGCTGTGTTCGTTTTATTTTTTTGGTTATTTTTTTTCCGGCCGGAACAGATTAATCGGTTTTCAATGCATTCCTATGGGAAATGGTACTTTGACTTGTGAACACCATTCCAATACAGATTAAGTTTGTAGTAGTGATAGGTAGAATCCAGATACTGTACTGTATAACTGTTTTTGAGATATAGTATTACTATGACTACAGCTGATGATATCATTAGCTTGTGTGGACATAATTTTGTTTTATATTTGGAACATAAGCCGCCCAGAGTAGATTTATTGAATCTAGATGGGTAGGGTAAAAGCTAGAAAAATAAATAAAATAAATAAACAAACGTACACAAGAGGATTTGGACCGGTGTGTGATTTTACATGCTGTGAACAAGATGTTTATTCCTTTCTCAGGAACAATTTACAGGGTGTATTCTTTCAAAGAAAAATAAAAGAAATACTCCTAAGTCCACAAGTTTTGTCTTCAAAAGTGTGCTATGATGCAGTGAATAGATTCTTATGTTCATTTGTTTTGAAGCACTCAAACATTAGTCTAACCACAATATAGCACTTTGCTTTAGGCCAGTGTCCTTTTTGGTTTACCATACATGAAACAGCAATTACACAAGTGTTTTTTGATCACTTATTGTATTCCTGGTCATGGCCACTGATGGCACCTGGGTGTGTGATGGACAACCCAGAAAATATAGAAAACTGTATGTGTGATTGCTGTTTTGCACACAGTAGCTGAAGTCCAGTAATAAGTCACAACTAGAGTAGGCCCATTGTATGAATGGAACTTACTTGGGAGTTGACTCCCCAAATTCTCACTGATTCAGTGGACTTACTATAGCTATGACTTACTGCTGTATTTCAGCCAATAAATCAAATAGGATGGACTTGCTATAGCTATGACTTCTGTATTTCAGCCAATAAATCAAATAGGATGCTGTCCTTTGTTACTTTTATTGAACCCAGCATAACATAGATATTTCATGGGTTATGGTTTTCTCTAATGTCAACTAGAGATAATCAATTTGTTCTACAGATAAGTCCACAACTGTTGCACAGGGATTACTAGCCTAGGTTTTACTGTCATTTTTCTGAATGTAGATCACATGGCAGTAATGAAGAAGGAAAGACATCGGTTTAATTTTTTAAAAACTTAGAATATCTAACTTGTCTCTAGAAGCCCTGGTGAGTTAGAGATATTTATAAGTCTAGGACAGATATTTATAAGTCTAGGCTACATTTCTAGAAGCAGTACTTTTCAATTCATATAAATCTATTCATTTTTAGATGTTACAACTACAATAGTAATATAATTATAACAATTTTTGAACTGCAGACCTGAAATGGACCCTGTTGTTGTTGTTTAGTCATGTCCAACTCTTTTTGATCCCATGGACCAGAGCATGCCAGGCCCTCCTATCTTACACTGCCTCCCGGAGTTGTGTCAAATTCATGTTGGTTGCTCCAATGACACTGTCCAACCATCTCATCCTCTGTCGTCCCCTTCTCCTCTTGCCTTCACACTTGTGAAATGGACCCTATGGATTATCAAATCCAGCCCCTGTCAAAGAGGCATAGTGGGGAATTGAACTCCCAATCTCAGCAAACACTTTAAGATCATACTCTTCAGCATATCCCTATGTAACGTTACTTTTCGTGGCTAAAGTGCTTGTTATCAAATGTATATGACTTATATCAGTTTGATACAAGATAGAGGATTTATACAAATTTTCTTTTAAAACCCAGAATTAGCAGTGATGGCAGGAGAAGAAGCTGCAGAACACCAGTTCACTGGAATAAAGAAATACTTCAATTCCTACACCTTAGTAGGGAGGAGAAATGTAAGTGGCTTTTTAAATTGAGGCACAGCGTGACTTTGAAATGCATTTGGTCTGACTCATATTTTTTTTATCTTTAGTGTGTGATAGCCACTTATACAAGTATTGCACTGATGATCTTGTACTTTAAACTGAGACCTAAGAAACAAACTCCAGCTGTGAAAGAGACATAAGGGTAAGTGTCTTATTTATTTCTGTCTGTCATTATCTTGCCAACGAACATTTTACCTACAAGCTAATTCTGGTACCACAAGATGCTCCAGCCTCTAGACAGCTATATCTATTGGTACATCAGTAATATTAATATAATTGCAAGTCAATACAATTTCAGAAGGCTTTACAGATTAGGACTGTGAGTGAAGTCACTGTTTGCCACATTAAAGCAAAGTAACTTGTTTCTAGTTTCAGTTTGGATGTGGAAACATTTGTTCATTTTTTGTCTGATGAAACTTCAAGTGAACTTTAATTAGCACAGGAGTATTGTTTAGCTAGCAAATAGCAGATGCAGATGTAGTGTTGAAACTTGCGATTGAACCATCTAGTTTTAATGCATCCTGTTCAAATGCCAAGATATATCTGTCATGGATTTCAGTATAGTATGGAGTGGGCTACTAGAAGTGTCACTGTGTACACTTTTACTTTACTGTCTTTACTTGAAAATGTACAACTGCATGATTTTGAGTCTTGTTACTCTTCACTAAGTGACATAGCTGAGGAGTAACCCTCATAGCACTAAGATGAGTTGATTGATTTCATATCACCATGTATGACATCCATTTGTAAGCATACTTGTAGTTCTCAGAAGTCCACCCTTTTTTACCTTGTGCCAGAAGAGAATATATCTTTTTGGCAATGTATAAGATGTAGTGACTGAATTTTTTTTTCTTTGCAGGTTGCTGACATGTTGATATTGAACTTTGCCTGTTTAATTGCTGCAGCTTATAGAAGCTGATGTGTACTTCAATAAATCATGGACTGTAAAGCTTTTAGTTTATGCGTATTACCAATGCACATATGCTGCAGTCAGTACACTCTAGCTTTGCTTCAAGCTCTTGTTCCTGCCTGACAGTTTCTCATTATGTAAAGCCCCAAAGCAGTGTCAGAACAGCTACGTTTACAAAAAAAACCCAAAAAACCAAACAAACCAGATACTATAAAAAGGGGGCAAAATACTGTAGAGTATTAGCATTATTGTAACCATGGAACTTGAAAATGAATTAGCACTAATGCAGGTGTTGCATATAATGGCTAGTGAAGTATTTACAAACATCTGGTTTTATGTTGTACTCGGGTCATTTGGGACTGCCTTTCTCTGATTAGTGTCTCATCAGTGGGCATGCAGAAGTCCTGTTTCTGCATATGGAGTAGCTATCTGGAATCATGGCTGACTTAATCTTCAGTTAATTTCTTTACCTGGGTGCTATTAATCTTATTTCAAGTGAACATGCCCAAGGAATGAAGCATGTTTCAGAGCCTGTAAAGGTTTTTCCAGACTGCAACTTCCAGAATCCCAACAAAATCCTTATACAGTCGTGCCCCGCTTAACGATTGCCCCGCATTACGACAAATCCGCTTTACAACGATGTTTTTGCGATCACAGTTGCGATCACAAAATGGTGTTTTAAATGGGGTTTTTTTTCACTTTGCAAAGATCGGTTCCCTGCTTCAGGAACCGATTCTTCGCATTATGACGATCAAAACAGCTGATCGACGGGTTTTCAAAATGGCCACCGGGTGCTCAAAATGGCTCCCCGCTGTGCTTAGGGACGGATTCCTCGCTATATAGGCGCTGAAAATAGCTGCCGTATGGAGGATTTTCGCTGGACGGTGAGTTTTTAGCCTATTGGAATGCATTAACCGGGTTTTAATGTGTTTCAATGGGTTTTTTATTTTCGCTTTATGACGTTTTCGCTCTACAGCAATTTCACTGGAATGAACGTCGTTAAGCGAGGCACCACTGTATTGGATTACATTTTTAATACTGAACATAGTGCCTGTGCTGCTACACTGCTCAATTTTATATAAACAAGCATAGCTATGCTTTTAAAGTATAACTGTCTCCCCAAAAGATAGATTTGTATGCAGCTACACATTTCTACAATGTAGTGGTAAACTTGTGGACAACACTGCATAATCCCAGAAACAATTTAAATGAAATTTCTTCCACAGGTTACCAAAGTATAAAAATATTCCACTGTTCCATAATTTTCCCCTGAAAGTACCTATTCCATTATGTCTTGAAGATAAAGGTTGTGCAATAGAACATAAAAATGTAGAATTGGAAAGAATCCCCCAGGGTAATCTAGTTCAACCTTCTGCCAGTGCAGGAAACCCCTCCAAAGTAAAATCCACCACCTTCCAAACTGATCCGATCTAGCATAGAACACATCCTACTTTACAAAGTTCATAACACTTAGTCAGATCTTTTTAGTTAGTTCCAGTCCTACCCACTGAGCACCCAGAATCAGGTTTTCTCCGTCTTCCATGCAATAGCCTTCCAGATTCCAGAAGATGGCTATACTTTTATCTCTCAGGTTTCTCTGGGATGAATGCCTGGACTCATTCTATTTGAACTACACAAAGTTATGTAAACTAGGACCTTTGTGTATTTAGACTGAAAGGTAAGTAGTAAGTACAATTAATTTTTATTATAAAATATCAAAAGTATAAAACTGTACAAAATGAAAAACCATGGCATTATATTTTTACATTAGTTTTCAGCTAGATTTCAACAGTATGCAGTTGTGACAAATGTTTCACTGAAATCAAGAGTTAATGGCTTTGCTGTTATGGAAAAGGTTGGAAGGGTACTTGTTTTCTGGGTAACACTGGAAAAAATCAAAATGTTTAGGGAATTGTGGGCTACTTTTCTATTCTGTTTAGACCAACAAGTACGCAGAATCATTAGGGAATTCTGCAACTTCTCAGCTGGAAAAGTTCCAAAAATATTCATAAAAGTACAGTATCTTAAAATGTCACACAATTACATTTCAGCAATCTTCAACCTGTTTCAATTTGTGATCTTCCCCTTTGAAGGAATAATCCCACTATTCTAGAATTTTTGCAGCAACTCCTAGTAAAATGAGTTCCATGTATTAGTTAAGTGCTTTTAAAGAATTGCTTGAACAACATACACTAAGCCTTATTTTTATGCAACTGGCATAAAAATTGAGGTGTATGATGGGTTTTTTTGCAGTGCCATGTGATTTTTTTTAACACCAGTTAAAGGTATATATTCCCATATTATACTTCTAACTTTGTTCCCTTAAGTTCATCACATCAGTATTTTAATGGGTAACTGGGAGCTAAAATCAAAGTTATTGAACATGTTGCTTAGATCATAGAGTAGAATCTTTTTTCCAGCAGACAAGTTTACTTCATTAGTACAGTACCTTCCGTCATCTTCACTAAGTCAAGTTTTAATAAGACCTTCGCAGAACTTGCAGAATCAAATATTCATAGTTTTGTAGCTCACTGAGGACCATATGCCCCAGCAGCAAGAAGCAAATTTCTGCGAGTAAAATGGAGATGTATGACGGGAGTTGATTTGGTCATATATGTGCCCAACAGTAAGTCCTGAGAACTTTCAGGTAGATTTATGTGTCCAGTGGCAGTGGTGAAATCATCTGTTTCTAAATCCTCAAAGGCTTTCACAGCATCCCACAGCTTCACTGTGTTATCCATTGAACCTAGCAAAAAATGAAAGGGAAACCAACCCTCTTAGTATAAGTTGCATTTTCCAATTCAAAATACAAGGAGAAACTTCCAACATCTATAACATCTAGTTCAGGATTTCGGGGAATAGTAATCAATTTTCTTTTTCAGTGCTTAACACATAACCAACATTGTTTTTTACTAATTTTAATAATACAGTAATAATAATTTATTGTCATTGTAACATTATGTTTTTTACTAATTTACATAAACAGGACAGTTTTTTAGAAAGCTGGACTATATGTGTGTAAGAGGACATACATATTTTGGAAGGAGGATAAATGTGTCATCACCTTGTTAAATCTTTTAAAAATTATTTTAGTCTCTTAAGTATTTAACTTTACAAGTAATACTTCTAAGATTCTGTTAATGGGACAGAAAGGAAACGTACTCAGCTAAAGCTGTCCAGTGAATTGAATTGTATGTAATATTTGGTAGCTAATATTGTAGCTAACATTTGGTAAGAAATCTAGATCTTCTCTGAAAGTCCTGTAACACATGTGTACTTCAGAACATTAGCAACGGACATGTATAGAATTGCGCTGCATACCTTCACAAACATGTGGAAGTCAAAACTACAAGTGAGTTTATCGTTCCAGTACTGTTTTGCTCACAACACAAAGTTACATACCTGAAGCTAAGATTTCTCCGTCTCTACTGAATCTGAGTGCATAGATGGTGTCTGTATGTCCTTTTAATTCCCCTACCATCAAGCCATGGCCAATATCCCATAAAAGCACTCTTCCATCTGTTGCACCAGATGCCAAGAATCTTCCATTTGGAGAAAATGCTAATGAATGAACAGGTCCCTAGATCAACAAAATTAAGGGGATTAAGGTGAGAGTGAGGATGTGTATCTTCCTGACAGGTCATTTTCATCTTGTTTCACAATGAAGTTAGATAATAATTAAGTGGAATTTTCAGTGCAGTCCATCCTAGCCAGGCCAAGGCAGAAGATTTTATTGACTTGCTTATTCCTCTGATGAAGCCCTGTGGAAATGAAGTGATATTCTTGAGAATTTAACGGCTTGAAGGGACTAAGTTGAGAGAAAGTGTGTGTGTGTCTTTCTGACTGGAAAAAAAATCTTAAGCTAAAGCATCGGGACCACGGTAAAAAAAATTCTGTCACTGTTTGCAAAAGTATCAACTACCATATTTTTCCATTTATAAGATGACCCAAAGTATAAGATGAAAAAACCCCATTTTCTAACCCCAAATTAGAAAAAGCAGGGATCAAAGAGCTCCCTTTTTGCTAAGCCCCGTGCCTTGGCAAAAGGCAAGGAAAGCGGCTGTCAGAGTGACTGCTGCTTTTCCTTGCCTTTTGAGAAGGCAGAGTTTAGCAAAAAGGAAGGGGAGCCAGTGCTAAACTCAATGCCTTCTCAAAAGGCACTTTGAGAAGGCACAGAGTTTAGCAAAAAGGAAGGGGAGCGAGTGCTAAACTCCGTGCCTTCTCAAAAGGCGCTTTGAGAAGGCACAGAGTTTAGCAAAAAGGAAAGGGAGCAACAGCTCCCCTTCCTTTTTGCTAAGCCCAATGCGCCCTCGCTTTTTGAGAAGGCACGGAGTTTAGCAAAAAGGAAAGGGAGCAAAGGCTCCCCTTCCTTTTTGCTAAAGCCGCATGCCTTCGCAAAAGGCAGTGGTAAAGAGATGACTTCCGTGAATAAAACAACCCTCATTTTTTCTCAAATTATTTAAGAAAAAATGTTGTTTTATACATGGAAAAATGCAGTATTTTTTAATGGCATGCACATGAGTATCCAAAATAATTCTGGCTATAGCATACCTTATGTCCTGTGAATATTCTTACACAATTCCCATTCAGGACATCCCAAAGCCGCACAGTTCTGTCTGCAGAGCCTGTTGCTACATAGTTGGAGTTTGGGTGAAACCGCGTGCATGTGACATCAGCAAGATGGCCAGCAAAGATCCTCAAAGGCTGATAGTGATCAGTAGCCCATAATCTTTAAATCAGCATAAATATGAGTTAATAAATGGGGAACAAGATTTATTGCTTGAATGGCTATATTTTTTAAAGCAAAACCCAAATTGCCTCACATGCAAGTGCCCCCAAACTGATTAAGTTAGTAGTTGCTTCAGACTTCTTTGGAGGTAAATCATTCCCTTAGCAGTGTTCCAACTGAGATCATGGGCAGACCAAACCATTCTCAAATTTAATTTCCTCTATAACGTGTGACAGAGATACACTGTAAGAAAATCTAAGTACCATTACTGATTAGTAAAGGATATGTTCTGGAATACAGCTGTAAACAACATAAAGAAAACCACTAGATTACAAGAGAAAGCTGAGAGCTTACATCAGATTCTTACCGAGCCACTCTGTCGTGACCACCTGATACAAAGTAATATCCATAGGGAGAGAATTGTGTGTCCCACACAGGGTAGTTGTGTCCTTTGTAGCCCACCAGACAAGAAAAAGTTAACAGACTCCACAATCTGATAGTGCCATCCTCTGAAGAAGATAGCAAATAATTCCTGGACAAAAGAAGAGTCAGACAGAAATGTTAGCAGTACTGAAACTGAACACATAAATGAACCTGTACACTGGCTGGCACAATATATACATGCAAGTATGTTATTCCCATATTGTGATTTGGAAGCTGGGACAATGATGGCTTGCCTAAAATCATGCATGGAGTGATTTCCAGTTTACACTCTGTCTCTAAGCTATGTAGCTGACATATGATATTTTGTTAATATCTAACTCATTTTTAGAAATATTTTTTTAAATTACATAATGTTTAAAAATTACATAATTTTGCAATTGGTAATCCCTTTGGTGCATTAAAATATGCTGCTTAATAATGAAAAGAATTCTCTTCTTGCTTTACATCTATATTTTCCGTGCACAGATTTTTAATGGTCCCCATCTCATATTATTTTCCAATTTACAACCATGAACACAATCAAGAAAGTAAAGCTATTTAGCATTTTGGCTCATGTAGTTCGGGTAATTTTCTTGTGCTCAATACAGCTGTCAGCAGTCCACAGAATTGGGCCACATTTTGGCAGTCTTTCCTGAGCTGAAGAGTCCATTGGTACAAAGAGTTTTAAAAAAACTTCTTATAATTATTAATAATCAATTTGAAATAAACAGTATTAAGATAAACTAAGCTATTATAATATTTATTTATTTATATTTATTTGTAAGTATCAGGGCTGAAGCTGGTACCATAGACAGGTCCACCGTGACCATATAAAATCTTCATCTCACTTGCTGTTTTCTCATCCATAATCCTTTCTAAAACATCATCTGATTCTTTATCTATGAGACTGAGATCTGAAAGGGAAAAAAATCTAAAACTCACATTCCATATAAGGTTCTTTTAAGGTTTGTTAACAGACTATCGCCATGGCCATAAACAAGATATTCTCCAGATAATTTCATTCCAAGCCCTTGTTAAATATAAGATAATTTTAACAATAGTGGCTTTTACTCTGATTTTCCATCTGCATAAAGGGAGCAATGTCATTGGTCATGACATGTGCATGAGTTAGATGCATCCTGAAATAAAGAAACTCACCAAGCTGCCACAACCCATGGCATCACTCCCACTGCACAGGCAGAGCTACACAACAGAATACTGGCTAGAGACTTTCAATGGAAATCAGATATGCTTATATTTGATTATCATCAGTAAACTACTATGCTGGTAGATTTGCATGCTTTCAGAGCTTTTTCTTTTACACTCTGCTTCACAGTGTCTCATTTCTGCAGTCTTCCAGTTTGAATTCACAAGCTTCCTTAGCAAAGACACAACTCTGAATAAGAATACAAAATACATATTGTAATGTTCTCTAAGTGTCACAAACTGTTTTTTAAACAGAATATTGTTGCTATCTCTATTTTTTCTTATCTGCATACTATTTCAATGATATTTCCTAAAAATAATGGGAATAAAACTAGTGAATACTTAAGTTCTTCCAACAAATCAACAGGATAAAGTCAAAGTAATTTCATGTGATCAGTTCACATGAAAGAACTGTTTCACCTCATGAACTTCCCTCCATGAATTTCCCCCCCAAAACAGTGACTGAAATAAAAAAATAAAATTTCTGACCTGTTGCTGATTTCACACTTCGTAGCTTTTTGGGTGTCACAGTCCATACTCTGACTGTGGAGTCTGCAAAGCCTCCAACAATCATGCTTGAATCATCTGTAATATCCACTGCTGTAAGTCCCTGTTTAAACAGAGTAAAGATTTTAAGTTTTAAAATATATATGTACGCAATCCTGTATTCAGAGAATTAAACGTCTGCCCCCAGTTTTGAACATGGAAGTTATTATTGATTTTTAAAAACCTTATAATTATTGAATATAGAAAATGGCAAACTATGGAATTATCAAACCAATGATTTTTGGGGAAGGGGCTAAAGCCAATGCTACGAAATTGGAGAGAAATTACTTTAGTTATTTTGTTTGTAACCACCACTGACTCAGTCCTTTCTCATCCTCAGACAAGTCCAGAAGGCTTGGGAGAAAGAATGAAGCTATTCTTCCACTTCACATTAGAATGTGGAGACATTTGAAAACAATGTAACTTCTTTTTGTTTTCCTGAGTGTTTTAAAAACTCCATGTGAAGTGAAAGATCTAAGGAACACGACTGTCCCATTTAACATACAACATCTTGCCACTTCAGCAATTTTCAGTGATGGGTCAATGAGATGCAGTTAACACTAGTTAACACTCATAAACATATGCAGCAACTGCTAGCCACCAAGCAATCACATCTATGAATCTCAATAATTTAAGCAGCCAAAAACAAGGTTTTCAAAAGGCATTCTTTGACAAGAAACTGATGTTACGATAATCAATTGTATCAGCACTAGTATGTGAGTGGCCTTTTGTCTAAATACTTGTGTACACTGCCTCATCAGTTTCACAAGCTCGCTGTCACTTCATTCCAGGCTGAAAATAGTGAAGATATATTGGGAAATCCTGTGGTGTGAACATCTTTCCACTGATTCAAAGTCTGGATACAATCCATTTTTAGGTTATGCTACTGGGTGTAATGCTATAGAACAAGGCTGAGCACAGCATGTCTGCGGACCCCATATGCCCCCCCGCAGCATTGCCTAGCTCCCCCCACAAAAAAACAATATTTGAAAATGGTCAGGTACAACAAAGAAAACTCCAGGGGTGCAACTGGCTGTTTAAATGATACTTCAACATTGTCTCAGCCTTTTAAAGGTCCAAAACAGCCTTTTAAAAGCCCAGAACTAACCTGATAAGCATTAAGGAATGTGTAGAAACAAATGGAAGGCAAGCAGTCTGGACCAAGACGTACACGCTTAGTGGCTTCCTTCATATTCATTATTTTATCCTGCTTATCGGAGTCTTTTAGCTCAGGAAGTGGGATCCTGTATGGGAAGTAACAATGTTCAAAAAACAAAGCACAGTACAGTAATACTTTGAATCCAATAAAATGCATGTGAATAATGGCTTAAAAATAACAATATTTGTCAGAAATACGTAAACTATGATTTAACTATGGGGTAGTTTTCACTGAGATAAAGCTAGGTCTGGGCTGCATCACTCAGGTTACATAAGGGTTTACATAGCTCAGTACTTTCGCATATGAAAAAAATCCCTCAAACCTTCCATATAGAAAGCTAGATCTAATAGAGGGGAATGGAGCAGAGGCCTACTCTGGTATCTATCTTTCTGCTCAGTTACACCAACTGCCACTTGTAGTATGATATTATTTTTATAAAAGTTTATGCAAAAGGATAGGGCTAAAAATCTACAAGGGTGCAAATTGATATTGAAATGCAGGTCTCTAAGGTGCCACTGTGACTCACACTGTTGTGGCTGAATTCCCACAACTACTTGCTATTACAGACAGAAGATTTCTTCTTTTAGCAGCAAGGAAGAGATGGTAGACAGAAGGATCTCCGCAGCTGCCCAGTGAAGAAACAGGCATGCTAGAATGCAGGTACAGTCATGGCCAAAAATATTGGCACCCTTGCAATCTTGTCAGAAAATGCAACCCTTCTCTCAGAAAATTGTTGCAGTTGCAAATGTTTTGGTACTCAGACGTTCATTTCTTTGGTTTGCATTGGAACAACAAACAAACAAAAAAACAGAAGAAAAGTCAAATCTGATACAATCCCACACAGAAACCCAAAAATGCACTGGCCAAAATTATTGGCACCCTGTCTAAATTGTAATAAATAATTGGTTTTCAAGCATGTAATGCTCCTTTAATTTGTATTTAGACACACCTGTCACAAGTAAGAGGTGTGGGCAATACAGTAATCACACTTGCAACCAGTTAAGATGGAGAAAAGTACACTCAGTCTTTGTGTTGCGTGTGACACTGAGCATGGAGAAAAGAATGAAGTGTAAAGAGTTGTCTGCGGATTTGAGTGAAAAACACTGTGGAAAAACATCAACAATCTCAAGGCTACAAGTCCACTTCCAGAGATCTTAATGGTCCTCTGTCCACTGTGCGCAAAATCATCAAGAGGTTTACAGCCCATGGCACTGTAGCTAACCTCCCTGGACATGGACGGAAGAGCAAAATTAATGACAAATTGTAACAAAGGATTGTTTGAATGGTGGATACCGAACCCAGATTAACTTCCAAACAAATTCAAGCTGATCTGCAGACACAGCGTACAACAGTGTCAGCTCGCACTATCTGTCACCATCTGAATGAAAAGGGATACTATAGTAGGAGACCCAGCTGACGCAAAGGCATAAAAAAGCAAGACTGGAGTATGCCAAAACTTATGTGACAAAACTACAATCCTCCTGGGAAAATGTACTGTGGGCAGACAAAAGTAGAACTTTTTTGGTAAAGGACCTCATGGCACTACAGAAGAAGAAACTAGGCATTCAAAGAAAATAACACAGTCCCCACAGTCAAACATGGTGGAGGTACAAAGATGTTTTGGGGTTGCTTTGCTGCTTCTGGCACTGGGTGCCTTGACTGTGTGAATGGTATCATGAAATCTGATGATTACCAAAGAATTTTGGGGCACAACGTAGTGCCCAGTGTCAGAAAGCTACATCTACACCAGAGATCATGGGTCTTCAGCAGGACAACGACCCGAAATACACTTCAAAAAGCATTCAGAAATGGTTACAAACGAAGCGCTGGAGAGTTCTGAAATGGCCAGCAATGAGTCCAGATCTGAATCCCATAGAACACCTGTGGAGAGATCTGAAAACAGCAGTTGGGAGAAGACATCCTTCAAATCTGAAGGCCCTGGAACAAAAGAAGAGTGGTCCAAAATTCCAGTAGAGAGATGAAAGAAATTCATTCATGGTTATAGGAGTGACTGATTTCAGTTATTGTTTTCCAAAGGGGGTGCTACCAAATATTAAGTTACACATGCCAATAATTTTGGCCAGTGTATTTTTGGGTTTCTGTGTGGGATTGTATCAGATTTAACTTTTCTTCTGTTTGTTTTTGTTCCAACGCAAACCAAAGAAACGAACATGTGAGTACCAAAACATTTGCAACTGCAACAATTTTCTGAGAGAAGGGTTGCATTTTCTGACAGAATTGCAAGAGTGCCATTATTTTTGGCCATGACTGCATATGCATACTGTATGCCTATAAGCTTTCAGTCCCTTCAGCCACTGTCACCTTGCTAGAAAGGCTGTATACCTTTGGAATTTTGCTATGGGATTAAGTTCTGCTCACTTCATTGGGATATCTGGGATTTTGCAGCAAATGACATTACCTATTCTGAGGAGGAGCATTTGGATCTTGCTTTTTGCTTTTTGATCCTGCACTGTCTTTCCTTGGCTTCTTCTTCTTTGGCTTGCCCTCCTCATTCTCACCCTCTTCATCTTCATCATCTAAAGGCAACTCAATTTCTGGTTCTTTCAGTAACCCAAAAAAGACCTGTAAGCCAAAAAGAAAAGAAAGATTTGAAATACAGTACAAATCAATTTAGGCAGAACACAGAACTGATTGGATAATAGGTTTTGTTGAGTCAAATTACTACATATTGTTTCTTACATGCAGTGACCAGAACAGTATAAAGTAATCCAAGTATGATCACACCATAGATTTGTGACCAACTAGGACTCAAGACACATTGATTCTAATTCCTACTTGGCCATCGAAATTTGGCCAAGTAGGGGCAACACTGGTAAAAATACTTAAATACAGTACTACTTAAATATTTCACATACACTGAAAACCCTATTAGAGCCACTATTAATTGGATGTGATTTGATGGCACATAATCGCATATACGTAGATTTGTGTAAGAGCTTATGATATAGCTGTTTTATATTCAACTCCTTTTCTAATTATGCCCAACCTAGGCCTTGTCTTTCTTACAACGGCCATACAGTGAGTAAACATTTTCACTGTGCTATCCACCTCAGTAGATCTTTTCTGATTAATCACTACTACCTCAAATTCCATCAGTGAGGTTGAATTTTTTTCTTCCCAGGTACATCTCTTTGCTTGCATCCCATCTGACATTTTAATACCCATTTCCCAGTTCAGGTAGACCTTTTTGGTTTTGCAATCAGTTTTTGTTCTAATCATTAAAAATAATTTGGTAGCATGGAGTTCTGCTTTCAAGTAACAAAAATCACTCTTCTGCAAATGAGAAAATAATCACATTATCCTTAGATTACAGGATCTATTCTAGAGAACTCAATTCTGTACATGCACAAGGTGTCATAAGAATGAAAGAGCAGCCACACCAGATCAAACCAAATTGTATACAGTCTGGCATCTTCTTCATCTAGCAACCAACAGATAATGCCTCTACTATGTTTCCCCTTACTTGCCCCTTTTCAAAGCTATAGTACAGACTTTCTGAGCCCCATTTTCTTACTGGAGTGGAAGTAATACTAACATCTAACTTACTATAGCAAGGTGGCACAACAGATATCCTCAAAGCAGCAAAACATCCATTGCACAGAGCACAGGAAACAATGGCCAAGTACTCAGCAATGAAACAGGAATCAATATTCATGGAAGAAAACTGCCACTGTATTGGATTTGCCTTTCTTTCAATCCACTTCTTAAAATGACAATTGACTCTATTTGAAATTTATCTTTACTCCTGTCAGAAAGTGCTTTTCATCCAGAGGCAAAGTGCCTTGAGACACAAACCACTTACTGTATAAATCTAATAAAATAAAATTACTGGCACCACCAACTTCTCCATTTCCTATGTCACCTCTAAATAGCTAGTTTCCAGCTTCATCTGAACTACAAAACCCTGGTTACCACTTTAGAACAAGCCATGACATTAAAAAAACCCTTCAAACCACAACATTTAATATCCTGAAAAGTACCGTAGAAATGAGAAGGTGGTTAATGAAAAGGTTGTTGGTTTAACTATGTCTTGTGTAAATTGAAGCCAAAAGGAGAGTGAGCAAAAGGCTCAAGAATATTTCAGTTTAATACACTGAGATAGTCACCCAAACATAGTGATTGCAATGGCGACTAGAAGAGCACATCAACAAAGAGCCCTCATCAGGCTCAATGTACATATGTGTCTCTAATAAAAGATCTATGATGAGTGTAATATCAACCACATACCTTTGCTTTATTAGCCTCCCGTTTTGCCTCTCCTGCCAAACTTCCGACCATAGCATCTATCTGTTGTTTACTGCGAGGCATTCCATCAAAGATATCAATATAAAGATGTTCTTGAACAATGTTCCAGATTTGATTGTTCTGTTTTTCCTGAAGGTGTCTCTTCAAGAGCTGGTAAGAGTCACGGGAAATACGCAGCACAAACTTGCTCGTTCTGAAATCCAGCATTGTCTCATTTCCTCTCATATGCTCTTTTTTGGTCAAACTGGACAGTATACGTAAGTCATCTTGATAATAACACTCCTGATCTCCATGAAACCTAAAAAAGGGTAAACACAGATGAACGATGAACAATTTCAATTTGGTGATCCTTACCAGAACACCTTGCAACAACAGTTAATTGAACAGTTGATTTAACAAGACATTTGACCATTTTTTCAGTTGCTTATACCAGGTGAAAGCCAATATTTTAAAGGCACAGAAACACACATGGAATTGTGAAAACGGCAATACAAACCATCTACGAATTTCTAGTAACAGTTGCTGGTAACATTCTCTCTTAAAACTAATATACAGAACCAGGAAAAACATTTCAAATACTCAAGTGCACAAAAGGGTTTTAGGACCTCTGTACCCCAGGTATCTAAGATTTTTCTAGTCTTAGGCACAAACAGGTGTCCCCTGTCTCCTTCCCCTAAAACCCAGTGGGAAGCTTGCATGTATTTACCCATGCTCAAAAAAAAAGAGACAAACAGGAGACAACATTTTCTCACTACTTCTTTGGTCATGTTGGAAGCAATCCAATGGTGCTTCCAGAGTGGAAAGATCAGCTGACAGGGTGCAGTTGTTGCCTAGGAAATGGCTGAATGTATGCACGGTCTTCACATTTTTCAGGAAAGCCCCTTCCATGTCCCCCATTTCATCACTGAAACCCTCCTATGGCACAGAAAAGGATAATGTAATAGTTTATGCCCAGGAGAAATTAATTTTTTAATGAAATCTGTCAAGACCATGAAACAGCTCTTTCATAACAAGAATAATTAGTTGTCAGACATGTGGTAATTACAGGGGGATATTAGCATATGATAGTTATGTCGTATTAACCATTAAAACCAGTGCTTGTATTTTGAAGCCCATTCATTCATTAACACAGCCAATTCTTGCTGAAGAGGCTTCTCTTGCATGCAGGAGACCTGTGCTTAAACACTTTGATCTACCTAATAGTGGAAACATGCAAACCAAGATTAAAGGAACAAAAATGTTTTTATTACTTTTCAAAGAAGGATTTTGCTTCATTTTCATGTCCATTGTAAACCAGTTCCAAGTACATGTGTACAAAAAGGGGGTAAAAAAGCTGCGACAGCTCAGCTCGATGGCAGTCGAGAGCACATTCGATAAAGTTTTTCAGTCCGCTGTAGTACTCTTCGTAGAGCGCTGGGTCTCCCTGCTGATTGTAGGCAGATAATACTGCACTCACATCGGGTTGATCTTCCACAAGGACTCCAACTGCAAAGCATTAATGTTTGGAGGTAAATAGTACAGTTTTGATAACTGTTAATTACCAGTGACACTCAGTGAGTGACTATGAAACACGCTTATTTATTTATTTATTTAATTTGTATCCCGCCCATCTGGTCTATACGACCATTCTAGGCGGCTATAGAACAAATGCTTATATAAAGAACAGCTACATCAGTATATCCTATAGTATTCAGCTACTCCAATTCAAAGTGACGACTCTCAATTATTTCCTATAGAAAGGGAATGGATAGATCAGCAAAGAATGAAGTAGAAAATATGAACTACCATTATTAGAAAATATGAACTACAGTACCATTATTAGATTAGCATAGTCTGTAGTGGGGATGGTGAACGTAGGACTACTGTTCCCATCATTTTCACACCAACTGAGCTGGCTACAGCTTACGAGATTTGCATTCCAGCGTCAGAAATGAATGGCACACCACTTCTGAGTACTCTACCCAGAAACCCTAAAAAGAGTTGCCATAAGTCAGAATCAACTTGATGGCATGTAATTATACTATCTGAAGAACCACATGCTCCCGACAGCCCTGCTCTACACAATATCTGCAATACTACTTGTTTCTGTCTCCCACCTTCTAGGTTTAAAATTGTGATACTGTGTCTCCAATCCAGTTATTAGGGAAATGAAAATGTAGTCAACAACTTACTACATTATCTTTTTCTGTAGTTTTCAACTATATCTTATAGTAGTTTTCATATTCAGTGGTTTTAATGTTCTAAACCTCTTAGAGGGCCTATTAAGCTGAATGGTGGAATAAAAATATAATAATAATTGTTAACATTATTTTAAAAAATTAGGATTTTACAAAAGAATGCCAGTGTGTGATTTCAACTCGATTCATCATGGAATCATTCACACCAACTCCAGGATGGGGCTATTGTATCCAGAGGACATCATAAAACTACTGTTACATGAGTTAAAAACCTTGATTTTGACTTTTCCTATAGCTCAGCGAGTTAGGTATCTGGCTGCAAAACCACAGGCTGAGAGTTCAGTTCCCCACTATGCTTCCTGCAAGCACAGCCAGCCTGTGTGGCCCTCGATAAGATGTGCAGTCCCAAGGGAATTATAAATTACTGAGTATTTTCTACCTGGAAAACCCTGAAAAGGGTCACCATAAGTCAGAATGTACTTGACAGCACATGATTATTGTCACAGATACTCAGTTTATTCGCGAAGGCTTTCACGGCCGGGATCCAATGATTGTTGTGGGTTTTTCGGTCTCTTTGGCCGTGTTCTGAAGGTTGTACTTCCTAACGTTTCGCCAGTCTCTGTGGCCGGCATCTTCAGAGGACAGCACTCTACGGAAGAACAACCTTCAGAACACGGCCAAAGAGCCCGAAAAACCCACAAAAACCATTAGATACTCAGTTTGCTGTAGTGGAAAAAGAGACTAGAACTCAGGTGTCCTGGGTTCAAATCCCCACTTGGCCATGGAAACTCACTGGGGGAGTGGAATTGGTAAAACCACTCTTAAAATATCTCCCGTTGCCTTAGGAGCCCTATTTGGGTTGCTAGATGTCAGTTCCGACTTGACGGGCACATAATACGTATCAAAGTACCGTATAGGGCAAAAGTACTGTCGCTAGAGTAAGCGCCTGGGTGACCGATCCTTGGGGGGGGGCGATTTATCCGCTACCCCTCTCACCTTTCCCGGCACCCCCCAGGGGCACTGCGGGAGCAGCCGTGACCGCGGCCGGAGAGATGGTAGCCCCGCTCTGTCCAAAAGCAACCGAGCTGAGCAGGACGTCGCCAGCTCCGGGGGCCGCGATCCCGACGCCAGACTCCTGTCCTTCCGCGCCATGGGTCGCCTGGACTCCGGGGGCTGAGGAGTTAGGATCGGTCGCACCCTCCTCGACAAAGAGCCGGGCTTCTCGACGGAGAATCTCCTCAGACTCGCGGAGGTTGCTGCGCCTCAGGAACTGCAACACGGCCAGCAGCGTCTGACGGTCCGTGGGCAGCTGGGAATTGGCCGGGGCAGGACTGGGAGCGACCGGCGGCTTCGAGTCCACTCCTCCCGCCGAGGGCTCCCCTTCTGGGAGAAGAGAAGGCACCGAGGGGGCAGGAGCAGGAAGAGCCGCCGCTACGGCTGCCGTTACTGGGGACTGCGGGAGGGCGGACGGCGGCGCTGGCGGCGGCGCCGCTCCTGCATCGGGATCCGGCTTCACTGTTACTCCTTCGCCCGGCTCCTCCGGCAATGCCGCCATACTGCAAAGCCCGAAAACCTGACTCCCGCTCGGGTTGCCCGCGGCTTTGCGACAATGAGGGAACACCGTAACATCGTGAGGCCAACCGCCACTAGTGACAGCCCTTGGATGCTTTACGGCATTTCCGGCGCTGTTCTGCTTTATGGCAAGGAAGAGGAAGAAAGAGGGAGAGCGGGTTAATTGGGATAGTGCTCCTGGTTCCTTGTTGAGTGTCTTTTTTTTTCACAAAACAGAAAACGACAATTACATTTCTTATAATTTTTGGAATGTCGCAAGATACGTAGAAGGTTCAGATGCAATCAGTGGGGTTAACTCAACTGTGTGCCGTTTGTATGAAGGAAAGCCAATTTCTTGCGGAGACATACAGTTCCAAGTTAGGAAGTGTTAACTAGAGGAGAACAAAAGATTCTTCAGCGTTAACATATATGTTATGTTACGTAAAATATGCAAAGCTGATAAAATTGTATTGTTTTATATTATGCGAACGTTTGAACAACTTCTTTACAAACTTCACCAAATAGAATTCCGAGCTATTAGTTTATTTAAAATACAAGAATTCTGTGAAAACTGGGTTGGTTGGTTCCATTTTTCTGTCTGCAGTCAACAGCCCAATCCCAATGACTCGGATATCCGATTTAAAACTGCTAAAGAAGGCTACAATCAGCTTTACCATTAAAATCAATCCCATTTCCTTCTTAGTAAACACGCCCCCAATATTACGTCTAATAAAGATACTTTAGTAGGTTTCTTATAGTCTCTTGTCTGTAAGCAATACAGTCATTGCCACAAGACCACTTAATCTGTCATATTAAAATATGCGGGTTTTTAAACTGAAGGCATAGAACACTGATTTTAACTGCTGACTAGTCCAGTCAATCAGACAGTCGTTGCAGAACAGCAAGACGTCAGATTTCCATGCGCCAAATTGACCCGAACTTGTACATACTTCTATTCAAGTCTCAAAACCATCAAAGTAAGTTATCTCGGTAAAATAACTGGGATATCAAACCTGATATAGTGGATAGAGTGACGGATCAGGATTCAGAGAACCTGGGTTTGAATCTTCCCTTCACCCTCTTGGGGCGTGAAAAGGGTAAAGCAGCTCAACAACCCTGTTTAAGGTCACTGTATGTCGGTTCTGATTTGACACCACATAACAAAATCGTAATTAAGTATTAGGCGTATATATTTTTAAAAATGCCTTTTTAAGTAGTATTAAACTGAGTTTTTTATGATTTGTTTTTGGTGCTGGAAACGACGGGGATTTTATTTAAATCAAATTTATTTAAATCACTATTTAAATTTTTAATATCGACTTTTTTATTTAAATCGCGATTTAAACCACATTGATTTTTTTAAAAATCCTTGGGTGTTTTTTTTTAATTCGCCCTGGCTTGAAGTCTAAATTCAGTGGCAAGATCATATGCCGTTGTAACACAATCTTCGTCAAAAAGATTTCCCAGAAGCCTTAGAGCGGGTGTGTGTGAACTATGCAGGTGCCCTCCTCGGAGCGAGCGCGCCAACTGGCTCCGCGCAGGCGCTCTCGGTTGGTAGTCACGTTTATGATGTTTGGTAGGGAGGTTCGGGAAGGGGAAACAAGAGCCTTGAGGGAGGGGGAAATAGCGTGTTTTTTGCTGGAAAACTGGCTTTTGCGGGCGTTCCTTCAGTTCCTTCTTGCTGAAGGCGAGCTAGCTGTTCGTTTTCTTAAGGGCGATGGCGATGAGCAAAGGGTCCGTCCTTGAGGGAGCTTGTGAGGAGGTAGGAGGGCAGGAAGAAAAGGAAGATCCCGCTGAAGCAGCCGCAGCCCTAGACGCCCCCGGTTGCTCCGGGACGGGTTCCCGCTTCGAGAGGGGAGGCCGTTCTGAATCCAGCGGTGAGGGAAACGCAGACATGGAAGAGGAGGAGGAAGAAGAAAACGACGACGAGGACGAAGACGAAGAGGAAGAGTTGGAAGACGAGGAGGAAGACGAAGCTCTGGAAGGGGCCCCCACGGACGCTTTCGGGCGCTTTGGGGTAGAGGAGGGCGAAATGGATACGGATGATGAGGATGAGGTAAAACGGGGGCTTGGTCTTCGGGGAAGGAAGGTAAAGAGGTGTCACACGTTCAGGTAAAATTGCCAGCGTGAAGTCGTGGTTGGAGGGCTGACAGCAGCTGGAGCGACTCGTCTTCGCCTGTGATGATAATTCTGGATCCCATGTCACAGGGTGGTTCATGGACATTTCCAGAGCTCACTAGACAGACAGATGGACTAGAAAAGCACAGTGGTTGGAAAGTTGGGACTCTGATGTGAATTCAGATTCTGCTCTTTAGCTCAATTTGACTTTCCCTTGGGTGCCTCTCTGGCAAGTTGCTGCCACCCAGTAGTCTTCTTCCTAACGTTTTTATGAGTGTAACGTACGATTGCGAGTTCCTTGGCAAACTGTTCCTTGGCAATTTAAAACTGCACTATATTTCTACAAGTGTACACACCTTTGCTGCATTTCCTGAGGTCTCTGTACACTTCAGAAGGGATTTCCTTCTTTAGCCAGGGGTTTGGACGGGATGACCTTTAAAGGCCCATCTAGCTCTCCAGTGCTACTGTTTTTAAGCATATCAGGCAGAACAAATATCCCTATCTTCCATAATGCATTTAGTGTATACATTTAAATGCCATTGTTCAATGAAATGTTTTCCAAGTTGGTTCACAACAAAATAAACAAGACAATAGCATCAATACAAAACTAGTACTGTAGTTCATGTTTTGTAGTCTGCTTCAGACAGAGCAGAAGATAACTTAAAGGATAATAGTTTGCAGCAGGATTTGGTGTGTGGTGCCACTTGGGTAAATGCAAAAGATGTTTGTCAGTATGTCTTATGTACATATAGTATTTCTATCTTTCCAGATAGCAGTCACATTCTCTGCAGAGGCTGGGTTTACTTCTTCCTAAGGCACACAGGGCCTTATTTCTTCCTGGTATACAAGGTGCCCCCAGAATAATTTTTGTTTCTGAAATGAGACCCTCTCTTACTCCTGTATAGTTTATTGAGACAACCACAGAGAGCAAGAACTTTGACTCTGCTTATATCATTTTTCCCCAAATTGGTTTTGCAGTCCTCTTGTTGAAGTGATAGCTTAATAAGAGAATTTTTTTAAAAAATTGCAGCTTTTAACTTTCTTGTAAATGTTTTGTGGTAGTAGGAAGCAAGCCTTAAAAGTATTCAACACAATTCTTTTCTGTTTGCAGCGTATGATTAAACTATCTGAGCTGACACCATATATAATGTGTTCTATCTGCAAGGGATATTTTATAGATGCCACTACAATTACAGAATGCCTTCACACATGTATGTACTGTTATTGGTTTCTTGTTTAAGAAAACATTGTATATATATGAAGAAAGATCAGTAGAAAATACAATTTAATAGTAAAGTCAAGAAATGTGTGCTATGCCAATTGTTTTGAGGGTTTCTTAAAATCAGTAATAATAATCTTAGAACTGAAATCCGGAGAACATGATAAAAATGCACAAGATGCACAAAATACCTTTATTAGACCAGTTAACAGAACTACAAATTGAAGACAATATCTGCTTATGCCCACTAGGTAACACTATTACAGTAATTTGGCTTCAGTTGACTTTGACTATATGAGTACAGATTCTGACTTTAGCTTTCCTATGGAGGCTGACATTTCTGCATGGCCTGTTCCCAAACAGGAACCTTGAGTTTCACATGGAAGGCAATGGAAATGTATGTGAGGGGAAGATACATGCAAAGAGTAGACTTTGATCTAGATGGGCAGGGTATAAATCTAATAAATAAATCTGCTTTGACAGTTTTTATTTGAAGAATTGAGTGGAAAATTCCACCCTAGTTTTACCAGGGGCAAAGTTTCAAACTACACACCCCATAATTTTGTAGCTGGAGTTTGAACTCCTCTTAAGACATATACCTGGCAGATTTCTGCCATACATTTTTGGGTTTCTCATTAATAATTTTTGTTCAGTATCAGTGCTTGGCCTGAAGTAGAGTTTTAACCATAAAAGCTTACAAATTGTTTACTTTTTTTAGTGGTCTAATAAAGGTTTTATCTTTTGTATTTATATTGTGTGTGGACCATACAGCTTTTTGGCTTGTTTTGTTTTTGTAAACATTAGTAATCCTTGTTTCTACAGAGGCAATTTCTTGGCTTAACCTGTTTTATACAAAGGAAGAAAGGAAGCAAAGTTGAATTTATTATTATGTTGAGTCTTCCTCATAGATCTTACCATTCTTATTCTGCCTAAATAAGTAATCTCACCAAGTTTCTGTTCCTTCTTAACTCTATAAGAGCATTACAGTTTTTATTATCCTATGAAGATTCAGGCATACGTTTTGAAACATAGGATAATAAAAGCTCTATTGCCCATGCAATTTTGGAACCAAAATGTATGATGTTGCTGATAAGTGCTGGAACCTGAACTATTATAGGCAGGATATACTGCTGTGAGGGCAAAGCAAACAAAACAGGCCAAGTTCTTCCTAGTTGTATCAGGCCAAGTCAATCCAAAGGCTTAACACTGACTGCCATTACAAACATTGTAAACTACCTTATGCTATATCAGTCTGTTCATTGATCTTGCTATGATTAGCAACAATTTTCTAGGTTTTTAGACAGAGCCTTTCATATCACCTTTGTGGAGTGAGAGGGGTTGATCACAGACATTCTGCATGCAAAATATATTCTCTATCACTCAGTTTTGGTACTTTATTAATCTGCAAGCTCCCATATCCTAAAGTCATCATTCTATAACTTAACTAACTGTAGCCTCTGCATTTGGCTTCTCCCTTTCTGTTCTTGGATGCTAAAAGATCTGCAGTCTCATAGGGAAAGAAACATTTGATCTGGCAGAAGATCACTTAGTTGTTGTAATTGGGGAAGAAAAATTGAACAGCAATAGGGATAGTTGCAGCAGCTTGTTATGTAGCAGGAAAAGATGCATCATCTTAGGGCAATTTTAGAAAGTATAGAATTGGTCCTCATTTAATGTATTTTATATAACAGCTTTGTGGACCTTTCCAGGTCGTAAGAGTGATTGAAATAAAATAATTAAATATTGTGATGCAACTGATATTTCTAACATTTATTGTAAACAACTCTGAATGTTTTGTATAGAAAACAAAATAGAAATCAATTTAGGCAAAGCAGTTGTCTTTTCAGGGTTTTTTGTTTTGTACTGTAATTGCTCCCTGTTTTAGCCATCACTTATTATACATTCAATATCAGATTTGGTAACTGCATGCTACGATGTAATAGGTACATAACAATTAATTTATTTCTTACAGTCTGTAAAAGCTGCATAGTAAGACATTTTTACTACAGTAACAGATGTCCAAAGTGCAATATTGTAGTACATCAGACACAGCCTCTATATAACATCAGGTAATGTTCTTAAACATTGTTTTCTGTATATATATTTAGTTGTGGTATAAAAGAACAATGGTTTAATATCAAGGTTCATATTTCTTTTCTAGACTTTACCTGTTGGTTTATTTGAAAGAATGGTTTAAACCAGCCATACATATAGAAAGATTTCTTGTTGCCCTGAAAAGGAAATTTGGCAGCCTGCACAAAAGTATCTTTATTGTTAAGGGAAGAAAAGAATGCTGCATATTCAGAACACGTTTTTCTTCCTTTTGAAATTTTCCAATGTGAGTTCTGTTTCTGGAACATCTTATCTGTACTGGAATGCTCACTCAGTGGCCCAAATCCAATTTGTTAGAACTGTTCTAATTAGAATAGACTCATAGAGTCAATGGAACTTCCATAATTATTGACTTAACAGGTGCATGTTGATTCAAAAATCCAGTTGCATTTTTCTACCAGTGTAATAGGATTTTGGTCAATGGGTCTAATCTAGTTAGGATTTTTGCAGTTGCTTTTGCAGCTGTGATCTCTTAGCTAGCATCTTAGCGCTTTCCTAGAGATGTACTAGAAAGGGCAGTGTTATTTATCTTCCAGTTTGCAATTAGAGATGAAAATTCATTGTTGGTGCCTATTTCCTCTCTTTTGTGGTTTACCTTCAGTAAATAGCAACCAAACCATATAATCTACATTCCATAACTAATTTTATTAATGCTTATTGGATGAGTTCTGTTGTTCTAAGTACAACTCTTAGTTTATCAAGATCTTGTCATTAGATGTATTGAAGATACGTTTTTATCGAAATATGGTGTGCAGATTTAGCAAATAAATAATGACTATATTCTTTTCTAATCATTTAGGCTGGATCGACAGTTGCAAGATATAGTGTATAAGTTAGTTGTCAGCTTGGAGGAAAGTAAGTCTTCTATTTTTAGCCTGCTCTTATTGATAAAAACTGAAAATAGTCTTAAATGGAGAATTCAGTACTGCAGGTCACTTTTCATATGGAATAAAATTGCTATATAAATTTTAAATATGTTGTTTCAGGTTCTTGAGATTTGGCATATATCTGTTTTCTCTGACTTGCTTACTGCAAAAGTGAAAACCTCATGTGATTTGAACTGCAACAGTTTTAAGATTCTCAGTTTTTATTCTACAAGTTTCATAAGCATTATAGTTTAGGAGGGGAAAATTTGTAGGCATCAGATGCATATATCTCAGAAGATGAATGCACACTTGTGTAATTATTTGGATCACTAAATTGGTTTCTTTATTGTGAAATGTTTACATTAATTTTCAAGACTCCTTCAGAAATTCCTTCTTCGCTATTTTTAAAATTCATCAGCTTCTTATAAATCCGTTCTGAATGCTGTTCTTTTAATTTGTACTCCAGTGTATGGATAGCATTGAGTAGCATAATCAAAGCCAGTGGGACCGAACCAGCTGAATTAAGAATGCCAAAGAATGTTCAGCAAACTATGCTGTCCAGTGCTAAATTGTGGTGTATTTAAAGCTGAAAGGAGCAGTACCAGAACACAAAGCAAGAGGACAGTGGAGGAAAACCAAAGGTTCAAAATAGCGCTAATATCATTTTTTAAAATAACATGACCTGTGGAATTATCACAATAATTTATTTATTTATTGCCTTTGAATTTGTACATTGAATTACATGGGAAACATCATAAAAATTAGTGAGGATATTGACAAAGCTATCAGTATCTGTTAAGATGATGTTATTGTACAAGTGTAAGGGGGAAGTGGAGAATAATAATCATGATTGTTTTGTCAGTGTGTATTCCAAAACAGTCCATAAAATATCTGCACATTACCCTATGTTCAGCAATACCAAGCATTTTGTATTGAATATTTTCAGGAGAGAAAAAGCAAATGCATGATTTCTACAGAGAGAGGGGTCTAGAAATACCTAAACTTGGTAAGTCTATAGTTGTTACAAAAGAGCAGCAGATTTACTGCCACTCTTTTATATTATAATTGCATGATATTTTATCCAGTGGATCATGTAACTTTAGTTTTTCACTACAGACTGTGGCTGATCCACTGCTGTAGAGATGGTCCTCAGTAGGTATAGAAACAGATATGTGTTCCTTGTTCTTGTGATAGGTAAAGGAATGATAGATGTTTGGGTGAGAGAATTGTAATTAGTGAGGTTAATAAACCTTTCAAGGAAATTGAACCACAGAATAAAAGAAGGTTCAAAATATGATTTAACAAAAGAAGGCATGTTATTAGACCAAGTCTGCCCTGAAATTGTGACCGGAGTTCTGTGTGTGACTTTCTGTGGAATTCAAAAGAGCTGTTGTCTGTGTCCTTTTCTTGCACTTTCATGGCAGTACACAAGGCCTACTCAAGCCCATTGGATTGCAAAGTTAGAGAGGTCCTATATACAATGATTTACAAGTCATTTCCTGACTTACTAGGCAAAAGTTATTTGTGGTAGAAGGTGATTTCCTGTCTTCCCTTTAATTCTCTCAATATATGTGCCAAAGAGCTCAGAGGAAAGGTGTCTCATAAAACACTTGGTTTTGAATCAGTACACTCCTGATTCAAAACCAAGAAGAAACCCATAAGAAATATCTGCTAAGTTGGAAGATGAGAGTTTTTCATGTTACGTGGAATGGGGTATCTGCTAACTCTTGCTGCTGTAGCATTGGTAAATGTATTTGTGGAAGCCTGCTAGTATCACTAAATTCCTTTCGCTTTTACTTTGGATTTAGAGATTAAGGAGTTTTTATGGGTTCTTCTACCATGTAGTCAGACATGCTTAATGGCCCATCTGTGTCTGATACCCCTGTGCTGCTACAACTTTTTGATAGAGTAGAAAGTCTCATGTATTGTTTCTACTGAACTCAGAGGAGGAAGAGAGAATAAGGAAATGGGAACAGGAAAAACATACAGTGATTAAAGGAAGAATGACTTGTGAATTGGTGGGTGGGCATGCAGGAACGAAAATGAGGCGACAACAGAGTTTTTATTGCATAGAAGAGAGAGCACCATTCTCAACCTTTTTTTTTACCTTGACCATAAACACAATGTGAAAGAAATATAGACCAAATCAGGACTATAAGTTACATAATAAACCTTATCAATTGGTGTGTGAAGAATTGTTTCCAATCTGGGGCCCCCTTCAAATGTGTCAGGGCCCCCATTGAGAATGGCTACTGTAGGCGACAAAAAAAGTAACCAAAAATGACTGCTGATAGTGGTCCATAGAAAGGAAAGTGTTATGCTGTATAGAGGTGCAATGGATGTGGCAGCTAAGTGGAGCTGCAAGAGACCATGTGGTGAGGAATGAATAGATAACTAAAGAAATGAAAGGGGGTGGCTGAGAGTAAAGCAACTTGTGGTAAAGCAGAGCAAGAAAGTGGCATGGGATAAAGAGGGAAAGAGGGAGATTAGTAGGCAATGGGGTAGGAGAGAGGATGCCGTGAAATAGGGAATGAAGGAAAGGAGGCTTGACAGAGAGGACTTGAGAAAAATATGGAGTAGTACAGAAGGAAGTGGATTTAATTGACAATTAGTTGGAAGGAAATGCTGAATTAGAATTAGAAAACTTTACTTCTGCAATTTGTGTAGCAGTTAGTAATGGCATCCTTCAGTTTTGAGAGACTATGGTAATGTGCTCTGAATAGAGCAGAGGTCAGGGAACCTTTTTACCCTTTACCCCCTAAAACATTTATATACACCAACATTACCCCCTTGATTTGAAAGGATCTCGGTCACACGCGGCCAGTCGAGCGCAGCCACCACAGCCTCGCCGACTGCGCCCGGGTCGCCTCCTCCGGCTGGTGGAGCCACACTTAGTCCTTGGCCCTGCGGGGGTGGCTCCCTTTCTTTGCCGGCGGGCAGCTCCTGAGCAGCAGTCGAAGAGCAGCAGATGACTTGCCCACCAGGGGGTGCCTGACACCGCCTCCTCTGGCACTGGCTGTGGCAGCTGCTCGCCAGGGCAGCCGCATCGGGCTTCGGTATCAGGGCTCCCATGGGCCTTGCTGTCGAAGCGCCGCAACACCTGCCGCACAGAGGGCGAGAGGTTCTGCCAGGCCTGGCCAGCAGGCAGCATGGAGGTGCCACCGAAGGAAGCTGTGTAGCCGGGCAAGCGCCACTGCCACCTGACAGGCTCCTCAAGGAACGGGGACAGGGCATGGGCTGTCATTGTCCCAGTGCCAGGACGCTGAGACTGGTCTGGGCCACTGTCGTGGCCACCCCCATCCCCCTCCGCCACGATCCACCTCTCCAGGCACTGGAAGGAGAGGCTCCTCCTGGCTGGGGCACTCCAACCACTTGCCCCAGCCTCACCATCTGCCACGGCTGGCCCCACCACCACTGCCTCGGCTGCTGTTTGCCGCCGACCAGGGCCCGTCACCAGCCACCATCCGCTGTGGTTTGATTGCAGCTGGGCCAGAGAACGGGGGTGGTGGTGATCGGGCAGCCAGGGACCCCCCTCCAGGCAGAAGAGGAGGAGGAGGAGGAGGAAAGGGGGTTAGCGTCACATCCTCATTACCCCCAGGATTTTCACTTTTACCCCATTTGGGGTAATTTACCCTTGTTCCCTGACCACTGGAATAGAGGTCTTCGAACAGTATCTAGTGTGGCTGAGAAGGCCAATTCAAGAGTGACAATCCCTCCCACAAATGCAATCTGTCCCCCGTCCAGCTCCCTGATTTTGCTCGTTTCGGGACTTCCTCTTTGCCTCAGCCTGTGTAGCAGTGTAGTCATCTTGGTATAGTAAAAGTAGTTTTAAGGCCAATTTTAAGTTGTTCAGGGGTGGATGATGCTGAATCTGTGCAACTTGTTATTTTATGTTGTACAATGGCAAAAGGTGGTACCCTATTGTATAATTATTTGTTAGTTTTATTTATCTTTTTGTATCTTAGCTGTGCCACAGCCAACTACTGCAGCTAGGGGGAGGCACCGCAAAATTGTGGGCTCAGCATTCCATGTCCCTCCGGAACTTGATACTTCACTACTCCTGGAGTTCATTGGGTAAGTGAAGACAGACAGTCTGTTGATTGATTCTTAGCTTACATATAGTCAGGTGTGGAATGTAAAAAAATAAATTTGCATATTTTGGGACTTTTGGGGGGGTACACTCCATACCTTGTGTTACTTTTCATTTTAATGATTGTATCAAGGTACAATAGAAGAAATTCAGATCTGCATTTTGTGAACATTCTCGTTTTGCAATAAACATTCCAAGATTAATATTTAATGGATATTTTGGGAATTTTAAGCCAAGATTCAAATAATTTGGCTTTTAGAGCCTTCTGGATAAGGATTTAGAATGCAGGAGGAAGAGGGAGTCAATGATTCAGGCAGAAGCAAAGAAATCCAACAGAAGTACATTATTGGACTCTGGCCATAATATCTTAATATAGAAAACATTCTGTCAACTAAAACCATTGCAGTCTTTGAGCCATTGTTTTGTTTTCCATATCTGTTGGCATATTCTTGTTAGGATTTTGATAGATTCAGTCTCTTTAGCTCTAAATAATTCTGTTGATATCTCATTACCTCTGGTGATTTATTTCTTCCTAGAGCTTTCAGAGCAACTTTCACTTTACTTTCTAGAATTTCAGGTTCTTCATCATAGGATTCCGCTTCAAAGGAATCTGTTACCCTTTTAGCTCTTCTGTATAGGTCTTCAGTATATTGTTTCCACCTTCTTTTTATTTTCTCCTAGTCAGATAGTGTGCTTCCCTGTTAGTTCTCCGGCATTCCTAATCTAGACATATTTCCCTTTGATTTCTTGGCCATTCTGGAAGAGATATCTTGTTTTTCTTCTTTAGTTGTTCTATTTTATTTTATTTATTTTTTTTGCACTGGCCATTATAATAGTTCTCTGTCTCTATATGACATTTGTTGAAAAACTGCATTCAGGATTCTGACCCTATTTCTGTCACCTACTACTTTTGCATCTCCCCTGTCCTTACTCATTTGAAGTGTTTATTCAAGAAGGAAGGAAGCAGTGTTACTACGGTGTGATACCAGATTAAATAGTCAATGCCTAAGGTTGTTTTTTGAGCCAAAATTGTCTCAAATGAATCATTGTATTTCCTTGTTGCATTTCTGAATTTCACTGATACTGAATTTACATGAACTATGTAGTGAGATAGCTGGCCAGGATAGCTCAGTAAGTTAGATTTTTGGCTGCAGAGCCAGAAGTTGACAGTATAGTTCTCCACCCTGCATCCCAGATGAGCCAGCCTGTGTGGCCTTGGGCAAGCTGTACAGTCCCAGGATGCCACCAGAAGAAGGGAATGGTAGACCACTTTTGAGTAGTCTACCTTAAAATGGCCAGTGTATGTCAGAATTGACATAATGGCACACAATTATTATGATGTAGTAAGATAGATCACTATTAATTGGATTTTCAGATTTCTTGCATCACAAATCCCATAATTCTATACTCTAGGGGTGTTACCTGGCAGACAGACATCTAAATGTGACTTGCCTGGAAGAAGGGCCTCAACTCGAAGACTTTAAGGCTTAGCTAGGTGTAACTCCACCCAGGCTTGCTTTTCATAAAGAAAGCTCTCAGCAAGCACTGGAGCAGGAGCAGGAAACTAAGCCTAGCTAAACATCAGAGCTTCCAATTAAGACATTTCTCCCAGGTGAGCCACATACAGTATTGGTATCTGTCAGTAGAACTCCCAGAATAGAGAATTATGGGATTTATTGTAAGGCCAAAAATCCCATCACTATAGATCAAAGCTTGCAGGATGATGCTATTACTATGCTAATGATACCATGCTGTATAAATAAATGAGCATCTAAAAGCTGTGACAAATTGAATGGTGAGCAAAAATATATTGGAGGCAAGTGGGTGAGATCCAAGGGGCAAACCCACCCATGCCTGTAGCTTGGAGAGCTGCAGATGCTGTTCCCACCACCAAAATATATTTCTTTATAACACTACTTTTCACTAAAAAGCACTCTCATGCCTTCTATTGGCTAAATTATTTTTTAACTACAAAATGAACTTACTGGGTCCCCTCATTGGCAAAACTGATTCCTAATTCCCACAAGGGGTACACAAGGACTTTGAGTGGATTTTCTTAAAGAAAAAAATGGGGTATGTTGAGAAAGATCCTGAAAGCTGCAATATTTGGTCAAAGTATACACAAGGGCATGGGTCACCAAGACTCTGGTCTTTTAGAAAAGTGCATCTGGTGCATCTGGTGCATCAGATATAAAAGTACTCTTTGCCCCAAATGTTGCTCAAGCTTACTCAGGAGCATGCCTCAGTAACACAATGGCTTGGAAATACCTTATTACCCTGCCCAAAAGAGGGAAGTACGCCTCCCAGAGTAGTGGGAGGAGAAAACAAAGCCCCAGAATGGGGTATCTTTCTCAAGACCTATGACATTTGTGTTCTTGAAGCTACACCAGTATGCAGTTTGCTTCCAACCATCATAAATAACACTGTGAGAAGGGGCATTAGTCACTCTGAGGCTTTGTAAACCTTTGATCTAGATGGGCGGGATATAAATCCAACAAATAAATAAATATTTCCAAGCCATCTTGTTACTGAGGCATGCTGCTGAGTAAGCTTGAGCAACATTTGTGGCAAAGAGTACTTTTTAAGAGTTCTATCTGATGCACCAGATGTGCCCTCTTTTCTAAAAGAGCAGAGTCTTGGTGATCCATGCCTTTCTGTATACTTCGACCAAATAATGCAGCTTTCAGGATCTTCTGATGAATACTACCACTTATTTTTCTCAAAACCTATGACATTTGTGTTCTTGAAGCTACACCAGTATGCAGTTTGCTTCCAACCATCATAAATAGCACTATTACTACCATATAAAATAAAGCTTAGGAAAGCTATGTGTATTGATTTAGCAGTTTGAACAGGCAACCCATGTAACTTAGACATATTAATTATGTTAATTGCTCTTCTTTTCTAGGGCTAATGATCTCTCTGGGAATTTTAAGGTATGGATGTTGCTAAAATTTATTTTCTTGAATTTTATTTAATAGCATGCATAATTAAAATTAAATACAGCATTGTATTATATAGCATTGTAATAAAAATATGATTTTTGCCGTGGGGTATAATGTTTGTTTACACATTTATTTAGAAGAGAGTAAAGAAAGTTTTAAAAGTTAGGAATGTGATAATTCAGTTTTGAGGGCTCATGGAAGAAAGCATTGTCAGAATTCTTAGTGCAGAGCAACTAGACTGAGATGGGCAAAGGGTGGTTCACAGGCTCCATATGCTCCCTGGGCTTTTTTCTCCAAATACAGTACAGTATTGCCTTTTTTCAGGAATTGCAAGTAACTGTATGGTTACTTTCAGTTTCTGGAAAAGGCTTTTCTGTCCTGATTAAATTTGCCCTGATTTACACTTTCAGTTTAGATGACAATCTTGCTGAGCATTTGACTCAATTTCTTTCCCAAATTTAATATTAACAAATCTAAGACATTTACACACCGGGTATGTCAGAATCTAAATTTCTGTAAAGTATATCGCACCCATACCCAAATCCTTTCCCAGACAAAAGTGGTTAAAAAAAAGAAAAGGGCAGCGATCCAAATCCTCATCCAGTTACCATACAAAGCTTAATCTTGGGCTAATTACTGTTGATCAAATGGTGGGAATGGGGCAATCCACATTTGCTTCCTTTGGTTTAGGGGTGGTGATGTGGCCCTCCAAATCCTGTTGGAATGTACCATCGATGAAGTCAATGATGAGGAAAGATTGAAGTTCCTCTCCAACCACATATTTCTCATATTTATTTAACAGCTTGTTGGAGAGAAAATGGGGTGTAAAATGTGCCCAACAGTCAATCAAATAAAAATGTATTACATACATACTTAAGTGGAGTTATCACAAATTTTGTCCTGCAGCTAAAAGCCAAATTATAACTGACACAAGAGTTTAGCAAAGCTATTCAATAAAATGAGATGTCAAAATATGCAAAGACTTATTTAATTTACCTTCTTATAGCGCTGATGGGATGACCCTCCTTTATGATTACATTTTCTTATTTACTACAGGTACACCATAAGTTCCATCTTTTATCTCTCTCCATTATTTGGCCCCCCCTTTCTCTTTAATCTCCACATTGAATCCTGCCCATTATCTTCATTTTCCTAGCTCCCATTATGCTTATCTGTCCCAAAGGCTTCTTATCTTAGGATACTCTGCCCTTCTGCCTTGCTTGGCCTCTTGGTGCTCTTAAGCCTAATTACATGTACAGTGCTGCCTCGCTTAACGAGTGCCCTGTTTAAAGATGAATATGCATAGCGATGGAGTTTTTGCGATCGCAAAAGCGATCGCATTGTGATGTTTTAAATGGGGGAAAATTGCTTTGCGATTATCGTGGGGAAGCGCTTCCCCACAATCATCCCAGAGCTCCCCCCCCGAAAGAGAGCCTTGGACCTCCAAGGAGAGGGGGGGTTGTGAAGCTGGCTTCCCCGCGATCTTTGCAAACACCCGCCCATCAGCTGTGCTTCGGGCTGGCTGATGGGCCCAAAGCACAGCTGATGGGTGGGTGTTTGCAAAGATCGCGGGAAAGCCAGCTTCACAAACCCCGCGCTCTCGCTCTCTCTCTCCCCCCCCTTGCAACTCCAGCCTGGGCAGGGAGACTCAGTCACCCTGGCCGTGGCGGCGCGGTGCCTCAGTCTCCTTGCCCAGGCTGGACCTGCAAGAGGAGAGAGAGAGAGAGAGCACGCGGGGTTTGCGAAGGTGGCTTCCCCACGATCTTTGCAAAAACCCGCTATCAGCTGTGCTTTGGGCTGGCTCACGGGGAAGCCAACTTCGTGCGCACTCTCTCTCCCCCCTCGCTTGAAGATTTTCGCTTGAAGGTGAGTTTTTCCCCATAGGAACGCATTAAACGTGTTTTAATGCGTTCCTATGGGGTTTTTTGCCCTGCATAGCGACAAATCCGTATAGCGATGATTTTTTCGGAACGGATTATCGTCGCTATGCGGGGCACCACTATAATATATAATCTTTAGCCCACTTCTGCTCTTTTCTGATACATGTGTCAAATTTGGCATGTGCATCACATTTGAGTTTGTAATCGAAGCAGGGAGCTGCACTCTTGTACTTTGTTATGCCTGATACAATGCTGGAACTATAGAAATAGCAAGTTATTTGAATAAGGCTGTTGCAATCATTTCAAAATATGAAGGTATGCATTCAGACCCCTTCATGGATTACTACCTTCTCGTGGCGAAGGGGCTTGAGTAATTCAGAGAAGCTACGGCATATGCCATGCAGGGACACCCAAGACGGACAGGTCATAATGGAGAGTTCTGACTAAACATGATCCATCTTGAGCAGGATGTGGCAAGCCACTCCAGTATCATTGCCAAGAAAACTCCATGAACCGAAACAAAAGACTAAAAGATACGCTGGAAGATGAGCCCCTCAGGTCGGAAGGCGTCCAACATGCTACTGAGGAAGAGTGGAGGACAAGGACAGGTAGCTTCAGAGCTAATGAAGTGGTTGGGCCAAAGCTGAAAGGACGCTAAGCTGCAGACGTGCCTGGAAGTGAAAGGAAAGTCCAATGTTGCAAAGAAAAATACTGCCTAGGAACCTGGAATGTAATATCTATGAACCATGGTAAGCTGGATGTGGTTCAAAATTGGGAAAGAACTACGATAAGGATGTATATTGTCTCTGCTTATTTAACTTATATGCAGAATACATCATGCCAAAGGCTGGACTGGAGGAATCCCAAACCAGAATTAAGATTGCCAGAAGAAATATCAGCAACCTTATATATGCAAATGATACCTACTCTGATGGCACAAAGTGAGGAGGAATTATAGAACCTCTTAATGATGGTGAAAGAGGAGCGTGCAAAAAATGGTCTGAAGCTCTATCTCAAAAAAACTAAGATCATGGCCACTGGTCCCATCACCTCCTGGCAAACAGAAGGGGAAGATATGGAGGCAGTGACAGATTTTACTTTCTTGGGCTCCATGATCACTGCAGAGGGTGACAGCAGCCACAAAATTGAAAGACGCCTGCTTCTTGGGAGGAACGCAGTGACAAACCTTGACAGCATCTTAAAAAGCAGATACATCACCTTGCCGACAAAGGTCTGCATAGTCAAAGCTATGGTTTTTCCAGTAGTGATGTATGGAAGTGAGAGCTGGACCATAAAGAAGGCTGACCACTGAAAAATCGATGCTTTTGAATTATGGTGCTGTAGGAGGCTCTTGAGAGTCCCCTGGACTGCAGAGAGAGCAAACCTATCCATTTTGAAGGAAATCAACCCGGAGTGCTCACTGATCCTGAAGCTGAGGCTCCAATACTTTGGCCGTCTCATGAGAAGATAAGACTTCCTGGAAAAGACTCTGATGTTGGGAAAGTGTGAAGGCAAGAGGACAAGGAGAAGACAGAGGATGAGATGAAGTTGCCAACATGAATTTGACCAAACTCCAGGAGGCAGTGGAAGACAGGTGGGCCTGTTGTGCTTTGGTCCATGGGATCACAAAGAGTCGGACACAACTTAACAACTAAACAACAAAACTTAACAACTAAGCCTTTGCGAATACATTAAACAACAACAGCAAATGAATTCAGGAAATCTTAAACAAAAGAATAACTGAATTGTATATTGTGATGCAGTCCATTAACTATTTTACCCAATCATCTTATTGTTGAAGACAAAAATAAAATGGAGAAAAACTGAGCTCAGATTGATTGCTTCATTATATTTTCCTGCCATCATAATTATCATCACCATTAATGTGTGGTCCTGGAGCAGCCCTTGTAAAAGAACCTGATTAGAATTTTAGTTAGAAATTTAGCAGTATAAAGTTTACACTTACACTATAAATTTGGCTGTCTCCTTCTCGCAGCCACTGGAAAAGAAATTTGTACGTGTTTCGGGAGATGCAACAGTTGGACATGTGGAGAAATTCCTCCGAAAAAAGATGGATCTTGATCCTGGTTGTCAGGTATGCTGTGATTAACTTTGAATTATACATTGAGGCAGCGGTTCCCAACCATTTTTGGACCGCGGGCCATTTGGGGGGTGTGGGCTCCATGTGTTTAAATGTTTTGTATATTCATGTTATTTGTCTGCATATATACTAGCAAATATAAAGTGTCAGGCTTTTAAATCAAATTGCACAGGACCTTGCAATTTGATTTAAAACATATTACAAATATAAAAGGATATATTTAATCACCAGTCACATCAGAAAAAAAACAGTTCTACAAGTTTATTGACGAGAAGCAAGTATTATGAAGCCTGTGCAAGAGTGAAACCTTGACATTAATTTATTCTGCTGAGAATTGTTTGATTTGTATCTGCTTGTTACAGTACATTACAGCTACTGCAGTAATTACTTCATAATGGGTCGTAATTTCTTTTTTTAAGAACTGAATTGCTTTTTGAACTACTTCAAGCTTAAATTGCTTTTTGAACTACTTCAAGCAGCAGTTACAATTTCCTAGAGAAAATTATGAAAAGGAAACAGCAATAGATACCACTTGTGTACACAAATACAGTGGTGCCCCACAATACGATGAAATCGCAGTACGACGAAACCGCAGTACGACTTTTTTGCGATCGCTATAGGGATCGCAAAATGATGGTTCCTATGGGGGGAAATCCGTTTTTACGATGATTAGGTCCTTGCTTCGCGAACCGTTTGTTTACAAAACGACGATTTTTCCGGCTCTGCAAAATGGCTGGCTTCCCTTCACAAAATGGGTGTTTTCCAGACAGAAGCTTC